GGCATCTGCAGTGGAGCAACCTCCAGGATGTTCATAGGACTTTTTTACAGTGACAAAGACTGTTTGATCCTTCCTCTCTTCATGTTAGGCGACAACTGCCAAGATGACGTGGCCGAGAAGAAGTGGACAGATGGAATGACGTGCGCCTCGGCCGCTTCCAATGAGTGCAACATACTACAACCCCCAAATGATGCGTTGAAAGTATCAAAAGCCCGACTCTTGACGCTCAAGAGAAGAAAGATCTGCACCTTATGACGTTCCTTTCTCTCACGACTCCCGAGGCGACCCCTGAGCGTCCGTGTGCGCCCCTGCTTTGCGTCGAAGGTCGACGAAGCCCCGAAGCCACGGCCGGACCAGGAGCAAAAGGGTTTTGAATCTGTTCACAGGAATTGAGGATCAAAGGTCGTCTTTCCAGGGTTTTTGACCGTAGGTTGTTGGTGGCAGATTTCCGATATGTCAAAGAAAGAGGTGCAGAGATGGTTGCATTTGGTGGTCTCGTGCAATCGACAGGTCGGGGTCCAGGTACGGAAGATATCAAAGATCGACAGTGGTCACGTTCTTGGTATCATTTCATCCAAATAATGCACATAGACCGGTTGTTTTCGAGAACTCATTCACTTGTTGACCACCTCTACCTTCTTCAGAGATGGTTGAGGAGCATTGCCTATAAGAAAGGTGTTAAGTAACAGCACCAAGTTGAAGGGAGAAGAGTTGTGTGATGTTTCCAATGTACATGCCAATGTCAATGCCAGGAGCCCCTAGTAGCTTCTTGCTCCTAGTAGCGATGCCAGGAGCTCCTAGTAGCGTCCTTGTTCGTAGATGCCAACGTCAATGTCAACGTGCAAACAGTTCGGCCGCGGCTGGGCTAAGCGGCACCCGCCTATGCCGGGTTTGCCGCATTCGAGAACACCGGATCAGCACCACCAGAGCAGCACGACCGATCGAGAAGATATCACGACCGGGTCAACGGATGACAAGGTCCCTGTTTTTCTCCCCAAAATTTCAACAATAACTCAACCACATTGCGTTGAGCTCAGTCCCAGAAGATCCGCGAGATGTGAAAGCTGCACGGGCTTCACCTTTGAAATTGAGCATCCACATCACGGAGCGTGGTTGGTGGGAAGGAGTGGTTTGTCAGTTCTGACGTTTTGGATCCACCCGGTGGTTTTCTCAAATCAAACGAAGTGATCCAAACAGCCAAAGCATCTAAGCGGCTTTTGGCTCATTCTGGATCATCACCACTCACACCTAGCTCACCGAGGGGTTCTTCACACTGACATTTCGGTCATCATCAGGGTTGGGTGACGTGACCCACTTCCAATTGGCATGGGAGACACCACATTGGGCGCTATTCCTGGCAGTGGAGAACCCAGAGGTCTTTAGCAACGACATTGAAAGTGGTTTCGGTGCTTTTCTGTGGTGCAGGGTGCTGCCTGGGCCTCCCCCAAAGAAGGGGCCTGCCTCTTGTGGAAGATCCTCTCGGTCAAGCAAAACATCGTTGACAAGCATGAACCGTGATATGCCCACAAATATCTATAGGATTGGCCTCCACCCTACTAGCAATGGTCTCCACCCTGCTAGCGATGGCCTCCAACCTAATAGTGGGTGTTTGGGGTTTCTTAGTCGCCAGCTAATTCTTGTGGAGAGAGATTCTTCATCGACCTGCAAAGTCATTTGCTGAAACTTGGCCAACCCAAATTGTTGAACACGTGCTCTCAACTTCTCATCCAGTCAGTGCTTAACCAAGAGTTTTGTTGGAGGTTGGTCTCCCCAATATATGGAGAGAGCAAGAGAGGAGGAGATGAAGTTTGCTTTCTTTTGGGTGGGTGACTGGACTGTGGCTGTCAAAAAGAAGCTTGAAACGATGTTTCTTTGCCTTGAACCGAGGGCCGAGGATAAGACAGCATCCTCCAACCTAGTCCCTGCCAGCTGTTGTGTGGATCTTTGGATTTACTTGGGAGGCAGCTGTTTTTGAGTCCGTGTTTCCAAAGATCAACAGCCAGGGTAGGAGAGTTAATGAAGACATATGTCCGAAGCAGGACGATGGCAGAAGCCTCAAGACCCGACCACTTTACACTGGGGGAGTCCCCACCCAGTGTCCGAGCCTGAATGCTATCGGCTCGCAGTCAGCAAATCTGAAACACCGCAGGCCACCAGATCCAAGGTCTTTCGGGTGTCTAAAAGACTTCCACAGGGCACTGGTAGATCAGAAATGCACAGAAGATATCTAAACCAGGGGTGGGATGAGTCAGGGAGGTGGATGAAAACCGACTGGTTCGGGACTTCCGCATTCCGAGAGCAGCACATGTCGCACAACACGGTACAACAGTTGGTTCTGCACAATGCAAAGATATTTTGAACATCGTGCCGCCATTCCTGAAACAAATCCCCTAAGAACAACAACGTCTTTGAGACAGACACTTTTGGCTGAAAAGGTCTTGAGTCTGCCTTGCGGGTGACCGTGCGAGCAACAGATGGGCGACGCTCCGATGAAGGTCTGACATTTTGGAGCAACCATCCAGGATGTGGAGACTGACTCTGCCGGTTTTGACGGAAAGCCTTGGCTTACCTAATGATTCTTCATCTTTGGGTCCTCCTAGAGACAGACACCCAGTAAATATCCCCTGATCAAGGAAACCACATGGCAGAAGACATGGGCAGAGGAAATGTCACGTTCCAAACTCATTTGTGGGTTGCGTCGAGTGTCATCATGAGACCATGTTCTAGGACGTCCACATGAAGTCAGATCTTCACAGGATGTCGTCATGCGGTTAGACTTTGCAGCGGTCGTGTCCTCACGCATCCTTATGTCCCACAAAACCACGACGGACGTGGAGGATGGGAATGGTTTGACTGCTCCAGTTTTGGAGCAGCCTTCGTTCTGTTCCTGTGGGGGGGGGACCCTTATGGGACCATTGTCTCAAAAAGAGAGCGAAGAAGTGTGCGACCCGCGAGATCGAACAGATGCGGAGTAGCCTTGAAGCTTCCACAAACAAAGCGCCACTTGTCAAGACTGACTGAGCCTGCCGTTTGAACGACACATTCCGAGGTTCCCGCAAAAGCACGTGATTCTGGGCCAAGGAGCCACGTAAGATCATGTGGCGTCTTGAGTAAACTCGAAATGTCCTTCGGTGAATCCCAGCATAGTATGAGGTACTCCGTTGATATCTGCAGCTTCATGATGAATCCGACTCTCGCTGGTTGCGCTTGGCACCACCGAAGGTGGGCCATTCTGTCGTGGGAGATGTGCCTGTCCGCACTTTGGGCGAGTGGCTTCCGCCAATGACCTGGCAAAATGCCTGTTCGTTGGTGTTTTATCCGAAGAGATTCGCCAGTGAGAATCAGGTAAAAGAGCAGAAGAAGCTGCTGTTTGACAAAGCGAGAAGCACTCCTCCTGAGCCCTTTTCGGATCCACAATGTTCTCCCTCGGCATAAGCATGATTTACGGTGACTGCTGAGGTCATGACAAGGATTCACAACGAAACCGCCAATCATGGCTCAGATTCTAGACATGGTTTACGCTTGAAAATGTAGGAGCCTAATACTGTATGTGTTTTGTTTTGATATTGAATGGTGCTTAAAACTACAGTTAAGCAAAACAGTTGTTTGGTCACCAACTTCTAGCCAACGAAGACAAGTACCGAAGCCAACGCTGATGAGGGTGGATGTTTTTGGGTCTTGGAGTGATCAAAACTTCAGGAATGCATAACTGGGTGGGTTGATAGAGAAGCAATAATGGTTTTCTGGAGATGTTCACCTCTAATGGATTGAATCCTTTTTGTTTTCTGGCGGGTGTTCACGTTCAACAAACCCTAATTTGCTCTCAAAGTGACCATTCTCCGAAAGGGGAAGTAGTATTTTCTATATAGTGACCCAAATACAATATAACAAGAGTTACCTTTCAATCTGTGAAGGGTCCATTGACTCACCTCAACCTGACCTCACCTGTTTGGTCTCACCCGCTGTGCTGAATGAAAGTCCAGCTTGGAAGGATCGATGAACCCATTGAGGGTCGAGAATGCCCAACACTCGCATGGAACAGGAGTCACGGGATCAAACAAAGACAAAGAAGACTCTTGTGTGACATGGTGTTATATGTTTCTCGTAAACTGCAAACTGCCTACAAGGCTTCCTTCCAAACAACAAGAAGCAAAGAACCCCTTTTGACCAAGTCCAGTGCTGTCACAGATTTGCTTGTGAAAGATTACTTAGCATCTATAATTGATCACCAGAACCACCCCTCATCGGAAACCAAAGTGGAAAAGGTCCGTGAGGGGCCCAACGCCACAAACTAGAACCAGTTAGTGTTTTTTTGTTCTTTTAGGCCGCCCTTACTTTATCAAGCAAGCGGCTAGGTAGCTACTCACGCATTAATGTCTGTTTTATCTTTGGAAAATGCTTCGCAGTTTGACATTTACGTTGATCACTTCCCTGCTGCGGCCTCCATCTTTTTGTGAGACACATGAGCTGGAGACCAAAACAGTGCTGCTGGGACCTCGCTAATCACTGGTGACACCAAGGATCACGGTTTGGTGGAACATGACTCAGTTTGGCGATTTTCTCTTACAAACTGTGGATGGACCTTGATGTGAACCCCATGGCCACCTTTTGCTTGTTAGATGTTGCATCAATGTTTCTCGAGGAGAAGTCAAAGATTATGTGCCTAAAAGAGACACTCCGTTCACCATCAAAGAGCTTGGTACGTTTTGATTGGTGAGACCTCCACCTCCACCACACAACGCCAAGCCCAGATGAATGGTCGTAATTGAGTGGTTGTGAACAAGCCTCTATGTTTTATGGTGAACTGGGTGCGTATGAGAAGCTGTTGTATTTCTGTCGAAGACAGCTTTGTATTTCGTCTCAACCATGCTTTTGGAAGAATTGCGATGCTTTTTTGGAAATTAGATCCTATATTTATTTGGTCCCTCGGGAAACCGATGTCCTACAAGCAAAGGTCCAATTGGACTACAATCTGGACCACGGTTCATTGGCATGCCCAGGAGAAAGGATTATCTTTGAATGACATTCAACAGCATGATTGCATTTGGTAAAAAAATGTATTTCGAACATATTCTATATAAGTACAATCATAGTTGTTTATGACAACCACGCCCCTAAAGGGCCATGCGTTTATGCATGTTTTTAGCTTTCGTGGCTTTGACGTCACTTGTACTTGAAAACATACTTGATGCTACGCCATGAATGGGGAGGTTGCCCTTGGCCAGAGAGTATTTTTGGTGTTTCTAGGTCCTTAAATGTCAGTAGTTTTCGGTTTACGGACTTTTGGGGGGGCTTGCAGCTTCGCACGCACACTTCAAAACGTCAAACAAAGTCCTTCGAAACTTTGACACTGGAAAAACAGTGTGTCCGAATGTGTTCTAGACTGTATTCTGCACCTCCTCCCAAACAACACTCTCGGTCCAAAAACGTCCCAAACGTGGAAAATAGATACTTGCACGCAAAACACACGTTTGAAAAAACACACAAACACACGGCCACGTCCTTTTGGGGGCGTTTATGAGTTTCGTTGGTGGGTCGTTTTGGTGGATCGTAGTTCATTCGTAACGAATCTTAATTTTAGTTTTCAATGGGATTTATACCGAACCATGTGATCTTTTGTTGCACAAGAGCAAGATGTGTAGGAAATGATAACTGTTGCAACATCACAGAATTGTAAAAATGATACGGTGTTTTTTCGTATCTTTTGTAAAATCGTTTGGCCGAAGTTGCGTTTATCGGTGTAGTCGCGAATGAATTATGTCATGGTGCAGCCGTTAAAAATTAAAAAATTGAAGAAAATATCTTCGGAAAGGCTTTCTATGCTTATATAGTTATTTGTTTATATAACTAAGGCCAATACAATAGGAATTATTCTATTTTTGTGAAGGAAAAAAATATTTTGAAAAATCTTAATATCGTTTATTGGAATTGATATTATTCCGGGAGGAAATTCTAATTAATAAAGAAGATGATGGATGAAAATGTTTAAGTTAAATGAGGATATTATATTTAATTTTTATAAAATTGAATTATAGAATTTAAGGAAGAGACGAAGGAATTTTATGGAAAAATGGTTTGTAAATTGTTTTAAGTTTAATGTCTATATAAATTACGAAGGTAAGTTTTTGGAAGATATTTTGAGTTTGTTTTGCGAAGGAAGTGTATGACGATTTTTTTGATTTGGGAAATAAAAGTTGGTAATTATTATGGTTTTATTTTTGCTTTTTGCAATTGGAGTTATTTGTAGTTAAGAAAGGGAACGTTAGGTATGGTTTTTTTTCCGTCTTTGTGTTATAAATTGTTTGTGATTATTTCGTAATATACTTTGCTTGATTTTTTCGTTCTTCGTTTTTTTAAGCTTTATAGATTTGTAAAGCTTGGTCCTAAGTCTAGGCAACATGGGCCGACATGAGCTTTTCGAACTTGTTAATCCTATCCCGGACGCGAGGGTTGTCTTTTTTGTTTTGGGATAGTGCATGAGCCCGATTTAAGCACGTGGTATATGAATTTAGGACGAAATATTACGAGGTATGGGTAATAGTTAGGCTTAGGCCTCGTTTAATCTCGGAATCGGTGCAATCGATAAAAAGCGATGATATATTCGAGCATATTTTCGATCCTTGGATATTGGTATTGATATATATAAATATAATGCATTATATTTTATATAAATGTCTTTTCGAATAAAACAATTATGGATATAGTGCCGTAGATAGGTTCTTCTTATATTAGGCTATTTTTAAGCGTTGTAATGGAATGCATTTAGATTACTGGATTATTTAAGCTGGCTCCGCTTGGTATAATCGATCTCCATACGATATTATTATCGCCTAGGAAACCGGACGGGGTATAACTAATAAGTGGAGTATCCTTTAATGGCATGTGTTGTATGGGGCTGATTGTTATGCTTCGGTTCTAGTGATGATTCGTGTTGCTCTGATTTTAAAAGAAATTATCTCGGTTGCGGTAGGATAATACAAGTGAAATTACAATTATATCGTCTTTACGATATTTATGCCATTTATTAATATGCATGGCATTCCGGATGGAATATTTCGCACTTGATGAATAAATATTAACGAATTTGGATATGTCTTCGTAATTGCATTTCCTTTATTCCTATACGATATGATTCTTCTTGTTTTAGGCAAATATACTACTTGATTTTGATGGTTAGCATATTTTCACCAAGAATTACAAGTATGTCAAAGTCGTTCAGATTGATTGAGAATTGTTTCAATTACTTGTTTAGGATCGTCGTTTGATTGTTATTCATACTAGGGTTTTCTATTCCACCTTCGTATATGGTGACCATAATATTCGGATCGATTTCCTGTTAATGCGAAAGGAGAACTACATTGCAACCGAAACATCATCCTGACTTCGAGTTTTTGTTTGGCAATCAAGGCCCACGACATTATACTCTGCTTTCATTTGTCTAAATGGTATCCCACTCCCATTCCAAACACCATGAGGGTATCAACCGATTCCACCTTCGTCAGATCTGGATACAGCACATTCCGCAATCGGCCAATTTCCTGACTCAGGCACGACATGTCATTCCACACACGCACTTTCGTCGCCGATAGATCCTAATCTGACCTTGGAACAAACAAAGCCTTGTCCAGCTGTTTAAGCAATGTTTCCCGTCGGTCAAACGGCAGGCCCAGATCTTGCCCAGATGTGGCTAGCCAAGGCTGTCCTGGCCTTGCATGGTCGTAGTATGAAATCAATATTTCAGGGTTGGTGCAATTTGATCTGCTACCGTATTTTGCACAAACACATCAGGCAATATAGTCGGACTAATAAACGGAACAGACTCGAAGCCTTTCTCCGGGAAGGTGCTCGTTCGACTTCTTTCGCCGAAGCCACTCGCTCTGTCCCAACTAACGGTGTCCCATGTTTGAAAGTCGCAGATAACCACTTAGTCCCCAATGAGAACTTGATGCACTTGTTTCATATTTTGGGACTGGGTTTTATGATCCGGACTTTCAGTAACCAGAATTGCCCGCACTTCAGATCTTGCCATTTGGTGAGAATGCCGTGCATGAAGTTGCGTCACCAAAGCTGTGGTCTCCCATCCATAATAAGCAAAGCATTGGCCCCTGAACTTGCCATTTTATGCCTTGGTTCACTGGTGGAGTGTCAAGCCCCCCAAGCTCCTGATGAATGGACAGCTGGATGGCTGCATCTCATTCCCACACCAGGAAAGCCAAGCACGAAACCGCAGGCACGTCGTCCGATCTGCCTTCACCCTGTCTGTAAAGTTGCCTCGAATTTTGTCCCCATATAATTATTATAATACACGATCGATATGCTTCGTTGCTTACAGATATGTGCTCACCTCCCTGGCAGGAGTATTGCAGATTGTTTGCTTCGAGTTTCGCATCATTGCAAACAGGTCCGTGATGATTGTTAACTGCACAGCAGGGACATAAAAAGCCATGGTATATTCGAACATATTTTTGTTCCTTGGATATTGGCATTGCTGTATATTTTAGGTCTCTTACCAGACCCCTCCCATATCAGGCCATCTTCAAGCGCTGCAATGGAATGCATCCAGATCACTGGACTTTCTAAGTGGGCTCGCTTGGTGTAATCGACCTCCATACGACATTATTATCGCCGGAAACAGGACGGGGTAATCACAGACAACTGGAACGTGTTTGAAAAAGGTTGGGCAGTACTGCAGTGCACACACACAGCATCACCCATCCTCGCCCGACTGCCCTGGGGCGTGGGTCGCACATAGTAAACAAAACATGGAAATTCCAGGAAAGTTGTGGGACAAATGGTGAGCTGTTGAGTGACAGATTTGTTGGTCCAGGACCAACCCCATTTGATGAAATGCATTTGGCACCTGTTTGCAGTGAGCTGGAGCCCATGCTGTGATCCAAAGTGTTGAAAAAGTTGTTTGTGTGTTCTTTCTATGGTTTAGCGCTACCGGATATATTTTGGTTCAAGGCCAATTCATTTGGCTAGTGTGAGAAAAGGGTGCGAGTGTCTGAGAGCAGCTATTGCAGCATTTGAGAGGAGTGCCCGCAATTCTTTAGCCCTGTGATTCTGCCAAGGAGTTTTTATGCGGCCATGTCCTATCTTGATGACCATGCCCCTGGTGCCCTGAGATGGGCAGTGGCAGCAGTGGCTTTTCAACAAGATGCTTTTGGGAGACAACAGGAAATGCAAACAAGTAATATACCTCTTTGGTATTTGTCTCCAGGTTCAATGGAATTCATGAACCACTCAACACAACACCACTCAACACAGACACATTCATGATACACCATAGAATTAAGGACCGCTTTGTGGAAATGCGAGCAAACGCATCAACACGAACTCGAACCGAGAATTATGGTCACGACGCACGAAGGTGGAACAAAAAACCCTGGTGTGACTAGCAGCCAAGCGATGGTCCTAAACATGTGATTGAAAAAATTCTTGACCAGTCTGGGCGGCTTTGACATACTTGTGATTGTTGGTGAAAATATGCTCACCGTCAAAATCAAGCGGTGTGTTGTACTTACCGACTAAGACAAGAAGATATCATATCGTGCAGGGCTAAGGAAATGCAAATACGACGACATGTCCAAACTCGTTTATCAAGTGCGAAAAACAATGCCTTCAAAATGCCATGCATGTTGATAAATGGCATATACTGTCGTGAAGACGTTATTATC